TTATTTTTATTTGTTCTTTCGATTACGCTAGTCGAATTTCCGACAACATGATCCGTCCGGGTTACAGTGATTCACATCAAGTCTGAAAGTCAGGCCCTTTGTTGAAGCCTATCGAGGCGCTGTGTGGGCTAGAATATTATGATTTGCTGTAGGTTGCTTATCAAGAGATAATCTTTATCTATTCCGTGATATATATCTACAAACAGCTGCCGGTGTTTTTAAAATTTTCAATGTTAGAAAACGAATACGAAAATAAAAAGTTGAGATGTCTTGATTCTTGAATGTTGTGTGCTATATCTCTAGTTGAACCGTAAAGATTTTTTTGAAGTGGTAAAGTTAAAGTGATATGAATATTTAATGTGAATGGTTTTGTGGAAAAAATATTCATCACGTAACATAGACCTGATGATATTTTACTCTTACTTTTTCTTCTCTATTGGCACATGCAATTATGCAAACAACGTTTTCCAATCCCCAGGATGCTCCTGTCCATATGACTCTTCCTAGGATTTTTCTTTGCAATATATTATGGCTGGTAGGTGGAATTGCAGTAACTTACAAATATTTTTATGACTTTTGATTATAGGAAAGTTCCCAAGATATTTAGTCTTAGATAAGGTAGAATGCTATCCTATTCTATCTTATCTATTTTCAGACAGAATCATATTTTTCCAAATCCTCGGATGCTCCTGTTCTGTCCATCCTTCCAATGATTTTTCAAGTTCTACAAGTATTAGAATGTCCGGAATCAGAATAATGTTTCTGTCGAACCAATTTTATTCGTTAGTTTTTGGCTGGTAGGTGGCATTCGAAGTGCAGCTGAAGTAATAATAATTTCACCGTTCCGAGTACATTACAAGGAGGGGTATAGTAAATTGTAAAGTTCCAGTTTCTTTAGCATTGAACTTAACGTTGTAGTGGAAAAAAAAAATAAAAAATCATCACACCAGCAAATCTATTGTGAAGAAAATTTATTTGTTGTCGTTGTTTGTTTAGGTAAAAGTTACGTGGAAAGACCATTGCTTTCCTCTTAAGATTCAAGATATAATTTCTTTATATAAATACATAGATGTAATGCTAGTTTTTTGAAACGCACTTAATTTTGTCAGCATGTTGGGTCTGTACACATGAGAATGGAATAGTCAATAAAACTTGTTTGTAAAGTAAACAATTCTCTGTGTATATTAGTTGATGATTTTGAAAATAACCTCTAGCAACAGTGATCTTTTCTTAGAAACTAAACCCATCCATTAGTTCTATCCTAGAAAAAATAATTCAATGACGATTTCCTTACTGCAGGAAGGTCTTTATTGTACAGGCACAAGTGCATAATACCCAAAAATGGATGGCAAGAATATGTTGGATGCTGCTCGCACAGGAAATCTTGAGGTTCTTAAATTTTTTCTTGAAGAAAATCCGTCAATTCTCGCTGATTTAAGACTAATGTCGCCCACAGAATCTCTTCTACACGTTGCAACCAAAGCTGGGCAGCTTAATTTTGTGCATGAACTTATGAAACTTGATCCTGAAATTGCTGAAGAATTGAACAAGGATGGCTTCAGGCCTCTGGATATTGCTGTAATCATGGGAAACTTGTTGATAGTAAAGGAACTTCTGAAGGCAAATAGAAAATTATGTCGGCTCAAAGGCAAAGACCAAAGAACGGCTCTTCATTATGCTGCTATCAAGGGGAGAATTGATATTATTGATGAATTATTGTCTACGTGTCCAGATTCTATTCAAGATATCACAGGTCATGGGGAGACTTTCCTTCACCTTTCTTTGAAAAATTACCAGTGTGATGCATTTAGCATGTCGATCAAGTGGCTGGAGAGACTTGGCAAGGAGTCAGTTGTTAATTTGGGGGATTGTCATGGGAACACTGTACTGCACATTGCAGTTTTTACAAAACAACATGCCGTATGTTCATCTCTATCAAGAATATATTCCCTTTTTTATCTGTTCTTAATCATTACATTTACATTACATCATAAAAATGTTTTTTCCATGTTGCAGGCCATAGAACTACTCCTTAACAGTAACAGGATCAGAGAAACAATAAATGTCAATTCGACAAATGCCAAACGTTTGACAGCACTAGATATATTGGACATTGTTATTGAAAATTCTTATGATGTCCGGATCAGAGAAATTCTACAAGCAGGAGAAGTTAGAGAAATTCTACAACCAGGAGAAGTTAGAGAAATTCTACAAGCAGAAGGAGAAGTTAGAGCACAAGATGCTATTACTATCAGAACAGAAAATTCACCAAAAACCGAACCAATCAAGCAGCTGGAAGATCCTCTGCATATGATGGATTGGTTAGAATATTTCAAATTTCAGAAGCAAAGGGATTCACCTGATCACGTCCGAAATGCACTAGTAGTTGTGGCTGCACTGGTTGCCACAGTGTCCTTTCAAGCAGGCATGACTCCTCCGGCAGCGATTCTGCATAAAACTTCGGACAAACAACCTTCCATTGGCTCGGGATATCCACCACCAGCCCCACCCCCTTACTTTAACCCAGAAGGGACAACTTTACGCGCTGCTGCTGCACGAATTTTAGGGTCTAATGCTGCTGCACAATTGTTCTTGTTCACCAACTCTTTAGGTCTCTCTGCATCAGTATTAATCATAATGTATCTCACAATAGGGTTTCCATTTCAATGGGAGATTCAGATATCCGTAGGTGCTATGATGTTCACTTATGGTTTCGCAACCGGTGCTATACTCGAAGGACGTCTTGGTTACTTCACGTTGATAAGTGCCTACCTTTTGCCATACGCGCTGCGATTGCTGGCAATAGCGAGAAGAAAACCTTGGAAGCATTGGAAACAAAAGAGCATGCACAGTTAAAAGGCCTGCTTGTTGAGAAATAAACTTGATTTAAACAAATTACTTGTTTGTCTCGTGTTTGTTAATTTTATCATTAAGTGAGCCTATGAATACAATAGTCTATATTCTAAAATTTTACTCCCTCCGTCCCAATTATATGAGTAATGTTATTCATCCTCAGTGGGGATGAAAACACAATCTAGGTGACGTTAATGTGGCATTTAAAGTCATCTAGACTGTGTTTTCATCCCCAGTGAGGATGAATAGCATTACTCCAATTATATAGGCTTGTTTCATTTTTCACATGGATTAAGAAAGCTTCTTTAATGTCATTGGAAAATTATTTTTGTCAAGATCTTTCCTAATTTACCCTTATTTAATTTTCAGTATGTAAAACTAAATTATAGTTGGAACTAATAGAGAATTTGAAGAAGAAGAAGAAGAAGAAATGAGAGTTGTTCCATGTTTCCAAGAAGTGGAAAATGTGTGTATTTGGATGATTTCAAGAAGTTGGCATATTAAGTTGGGAAAATTTAATAAGGGTATATTGGTAAAAGAATATAACAAAATATTCTACATTAGGAAACATGCTTATATATTTGGGACAAGAGAAAAAGGAAACTCAACCTATATAATTGAGACAGAGGGAGTATTGTATTACTGAAGTAGTTAGTGCATATTAGCAAGTAAATGGACATTCATTTATTAAGGTTGTTGGGAAATTTGTGTCGAAGAGTCTATTGAACACTATATAGATGCTCTCGTGTTTTGTAGCAAGCCAACAAGTCAATTGAGTAAATTATTTGAGATAAGTTTCTAGCCTCTTCCACTCGTCCATTCTCTTGAAGTTTTATCCAAATAAACCCTCTTCCTAACATAGATTCTTTGAGAAAAATGGCTAATGGCATTGTTCTCTTTCAAGTTCCATCACTTGACAAAGGAATTACGATAGATATGGAGCATTAAAATGAAGGCAAAGGAACTATAGGCTACAGTGGCGGATCGATAATTAAAGGTTAGTTAGGGCGATTGTTAAAGGTTATGACAGATACTCAACGACTGTAATAGCAAGATCATTTATTAATATTTAACTAAATAACATTAAAAATTCTTTCATCTATATGTAAATTAAAGGCTTAATAGCAGAAAACTCCCTACCTGTTAGACATTGTACGGAAAATCCCCAAACCGATTGAAAATAGTAGAAAATGTCCGTGTTTGAAACATTTAGTCGGAATACAACCTTTTAGGTGCAAAAAACTCCCATACCATTCAATTCTGTTAATTGAACCGTTAAAAATTGTCAATATTAAAAAGGAATAATTGAAACTGCAGTCCAAAGCTTTTTATTTGTTTGCAAATTATACCCAAATTTTTTATATCAATCACCCACAATTTCACACCTTTAAAACTTTAATTTCTTTCCTCCACCCCCAAAGCATTCACGTACAATTTCTACTCTTCTCTATTCAAAATATCCATCAATCTACTATAATCATACGCACAAAACAAAAAAAATAAAGAAAAATTTCCAAGGGTCAAAACAACGAAAACAGTTACAAAAATAAGGCCTTGGATTTTATGTTCCATTTTGCTATAAAATTTGTATAGATCAATTGTCCAAAATCAAATCAAATTAATTCCACAAAATGATCAATATCCAAAATCTCACTTCTCTAACAGTTAACAGAATTAAAAGGGATAGTCAATAATTACTCTTCCATAATGCCTTTGAGGACAGTGCTCTTGCCAGCACCCATTCCACCGCCCATGAGGAGCTCTAGACTTCTTTCAATGCGAGCAACTGCATCTCAATTATCCTGGTCTATGGGCTATTGAATTTTGTTTCATGAGGAAATTACACCTACACCTGAAATTAGATTTCCAATTTCACAAATAAGGACACAAGTTTGACATTTCAAAAATCAGGTTTTAATTAAAATTTCAAAAACATTTTTTTATTTAATTAATTTAATCAAACCCTAATATAATAGTAAGAAACCGACAGTCTCTCACCCATTTCCACCCATCGCCGTCTCTCCACTCTCTCCACCCATCGCCGCCTCCACCCCTCTCTCATCTTCACCGTTATTCTTTCTATCACACACTTCTCTCTTCGATCCAGCGAAATAGCAGGAGCAGCCAAGGCGCCTTACGCGGTCCATGGTATGAGAACGGTCAGATCTGTTGTTTTTTTTAAGTGGTGCGATGCGGTGGCCATGGAGTGTGGGGTGTGGTTGTGATCTAGTCCAGTGGTTGGGTGAGTTTTGCTTTCGTGGTATGGTGCAGTGGAGATGGTTGGGTGAGTTTTGCTTTCGTGGTCAGTTTTTTGCACCTCCGTGATCTGGTTGGGACGGTGGTGGCTACTTCGATGCGAAGTGTGAACGGCGCCGTGGTGTGGGTGTTGGATCGGGGTGTTGCGGATATGTAATTTCTGTTTTTTTTCGAGTTTGATTTATCAGATGGTTGTGGTGGTTGCATATCTGTTAGGTATGCGGTTTGGGTGTGTGTTTGTGGGTGCGGTGGTTGGGTGTCAGGGTGCTGTGGTCGTGTTGGCGGTGGTGGTTTTGGAAGTGGTGGTCGTGACGAAGTGGTGGTCACAAATGATTCGGGGGTGGTCACAAATGATTTTGTTGTTTGTGACCAAGAATTTGGTTAGTTTGTGACCAGCAAACAATATGTGACCAATGAATTAGATAAACGGTGACCCATAAATGCTTTGTGATCTAGAAATTTGTAATTTGTGACCTGTGATTTGATAAATTGTGATCTAAAATATNTAAATGCTTTGTGACCTAGAAATTACTAATTTACGACCAATAATTTGATAAATTGTGACCTAAATATAATGAATGTTCAATTAATGGGATGTTTGTGACTGTAAATAAGTATTGCGACTTATAAATTTTGTGATCTGTGACCAATAAAAAAATTGTGACTTTTATATTTTTAAGTTGTGATTGATAAACAAATTGTAACCTACGAAAATTTTGAATTGTGACCTAAAAATTTTCGCCGGAGTTGGAACTTGCCGGAATCGGAGCAGTCGTCGGAACAAAGTGACAGCGAAATGGTCATCGAAATCGCCACCGTAATCGAAGCAATCGTCGAAACGATCTCCGGAGACCGGAACAGTAGTTGGAATAGTTCCCAGAGTGGTAGCGGTGGTGGAGGTGGGGTGGGGTAATTATATTATATTAGAATTAAATATTTAATAATATATTGATTTAATAATTCATTAATTCATAAATTAAAA